CACCAATTGCTCTGTTCTTCTTTGAATTGGCTTGGGTTAACACTGATTTCTCTTGGTTTCTCCAATTTTCGGTAGTTTCCCCTAAATTTTCTGCATTTCCCGCCGGCCTTCACTTAGCTTGCAACTCTGGTTTTGTTGGGAAAATTCTAGTATGTGACAGCTACAATAAGTCCGAATTTTTAGTCCATTTAGCTGTTGTTTTGTTGAATTTATCCATGTAGTGGCTGCCTTTGTACTGTCCAAAAATCTGTTGAAAAATGGGGAATCTCGGTAGCTTTAAGTGGGTTTTTGTTTATTTTAAGTGGAAGTGAGCTTGAGTAGTTGCTGTAAATTTCTGGAAAAAAAAGAGTAATTCCGTGATTTGTTGATTGCCAAAGTCGGTTCCTCCATTGTGTTTTTAGCTAAATATATATATATGTGTGTGTGTGTATTTGTATATATATATATATAGATATGCATATATGCACAACCTGATTTTAGTGCTCAGTTTTCGGAAAGTAGGAAATAAAATAAAATTAGGAAATAAATATTGCATTATGGGGGTTAATTACCGACAATTCTTAGAAAGGATTAACTATGTAGTTTTTATATGGGTATTAATTTTTGAATATTTGATTAGGTTCGTGATTGTTCTGTCACCCGAGCACTTGGATTGGGTCTTTGGTTTTATGCGAGTGAGGTAAGTAAATTATGGTAACACCCTTCGATTTTCAAGCACATTTTAGCTTGTTTTTGAAGTAGTGGCGGGACTAAACCCGTTTTATACAAGTATGATCTATTTGAAATGAAATTATTATTTTTTTTATTGAATTGAGGATGCCTTCTTGGAGTTTACTTAATTGCCCTGATGATCTGGAAATTATTTGTGAATTATGATTTTATTGTTAACTTCTGCCTGTTTTGTCTCTGATATGGTCATGTTATTCGTGTGCCTGCTAGTTGGAGGTTTATAAACGCTAGCACATGTCGACATGTTACTGATAGAACCGGTTCGTTTCTGTTATCCTGCTAGTGGGATTATACACTAGTAAATCGTGTGCCTGCTAGTGGGAGGTTTATAACACTGTCCATGACCTATAGAGGAGACGTCTATTTCATTTCCGTGCTCGTACCTGTTTTTCATGATTATACGGGTTGGCATGCTATAAGTTTAATTAAGGGCTATCCATATTTACTTATTGAGTTATCTCATAGTTATTCCTTGTCCACCATTTCAGGAAGCGAGGTCAAGGACGGGGAAAAACGAGGGGAGTGACGAGTTAGAAAGCTAACCATCGTGTAAATTGAACATAGATTTTAGATATAAATCATGATCTTATAAGGTAGACTTTATTTGGAGATTTTATAATATCAGAGCAAATTTTATAATTTTATCTTCAGATTTAGTGGTATCGGATTGTGGTATGATAAGTTCCGAGCCTTGTGCGTTTGTGAGGGCCTCTCACAAGTGTACGGCGTCTACCACGTCCTCGGATTTGGGTTCTGCGGTGCGACAGATTTAGTGGTATCAGAGCTTAGGTTTAATTAGATTTTGTGCTACACCTAGGATTTGTTTAGAACTTGGTTGGTCGATGGATTTTAGAACCGTGGTGAGATGAGTGATGGGGTTATAGAAGGGACAATTCTGATTCATGTTGCCTGAATTTTCTAATCCATTTTGATGAGATGGTAATCTGATTGTTCTTGTTTCCTACCTTCATACCTTGTGTAAATTCATGAAATTAATCTTGTCTGCCATGTTCTTAAGACCTTGTTTTGAAACTTGGTCATTTTCTGATAGTCTGCACTTGTTTAGACTTATTACTTGAATAGAATTTTTATATGCTCTTTTGCCACAATTGTAGAATTTGGGGAGTTGCAGAGATTTTTGTTATTGATCCTGTTGGTCTCTACAGCATAGCTGGTTGAGAAATTTGTTCTGTTTGTCACATGACTAGTGGAAGATAGGCAACCCTCTACTTTGTAAGAGATTCAAGGCCATTTTAGCAAATGTTGTGTGTTTTCTAGATGCGTTTTAGGAGCTGGATAACTTGGTAATTTCGCTACTCTGAAAGTCTTCTAGTGAAGTTTCACTTTTTTCCATTTGGAGCTTCATGGTCTTTTCATGTGGCTCATTTTTCTATATTGGTTAATCAAAAACAGTGATAAATTCAATTGAAATTACCATATTTTTGTGAAGATTGGCAAGCTGTCATAAAGTTAAACTCTTTATTGTTGCTAATCTCTACATTCTTGATACTTGGAAATTGCTTGAAACTCTTGAAATCCGTCTTGAATCTTTGTTGAGATTGCTTTGTACTTGTTCTTGAAACTGAAATCCAAAGGAAACGAATAATGATTAGGTTAAATGCCCTTTTTGGTCCCTCTACTATAGGAAAAAGCCCCTTTTTAATCCATGTACCGAAAAAATCCACTTTTTGATTCTTACTGTTCACAAATCCGACCCATTTTTAGTCCCTCCGTT